CTAGTTCTGTAAAATGAGGGTAAGCTGTCTTAATACCCTAGTTCTGTAAAATGAGGGTAAACAAGGAAGATCACTTGTTTACTCACTTGGAGTATGTGCCCTCCAATGGCAACAAACTGGTTGCCATTGTGTTGATCTGACTCACTGACTCATGGTGACCCTACATGTACAGAATAGAACTGCTTGCTAAGAGTCCTGGTGTGGCACTGTGGGTTAATGTGCTGGACTGCAAAGTCGCTTTGAACTGCAATGTCAGCAGTTCAGACTCACTAGCCACTCCTCGGAAACCCTATACAGGTTGTAAGTTGGCACTGACTCGACGGCACTTAACACAACAACTACATAGGGTTTTCATGGCTGTGACCTTTCTAAAGCAGGACCAGGACTGTCTTCCAAGGTACCTCTGGGTGGGTTTGAACCACTAACCTTTCATTTGTTCTCTAGGAAGCTGTATGTTCATCATTTTGAATTTTTTGTAATTGTCTCATTTTATATGTGTAGATGTGTAACTGCTCTCATCCTGATATAGATTAAATGAAAACAGGGACTATGTCTTTTTTTTTTTCTTACTGTGATACCCAGAATTTATAGAGTCCAGGTGTATGATAAGCACTAGACTGCTTATCAGTGATTCAAATCCACCAGCTGTTCCTTGAAAACCCAATAAAGGATCACTCTGAGTTGGAACCAACTCCATATAATTATAGGATAAGCACTGAACTGCTAACTACAAGATCAGGATCAGTAGTTCAGACCCACCAACCTCTCCTTGGAAATCCTATACAGGGTTGCTGTGAGTTGAAATCAAATCCACGTGATTATAAACACTGGACTATTAATCACAGGTCAGCAGTTCAAACCCACCAGCGACTCCTTGAAAACACTATACAGGCTCACTTTGAGTCAGAACCAACTCGATGGCACTTAACAACCACAGTGTTCAAAATGGAGTCCTAGCGTAGCACTGTAGGATAAGCACTGGACCGCAAGGTCAGTTTGAACCACAAGTCAGTGCCTCAAACTCACCAGTGTCTCCTTGGAAACCCTAAACAGGATCACTATGAATTGGAACCAACTCGACTGCACTGAACAACAACATACCCAGCACTTAATTAGTATTTGTTGATGAAAACTTAGGGTGATGGTAAGAAATAAAATGACATGATGTATGCAAAGCACTGAACTCTTTTAAAGGGTAGTTGTTGTAATCCTCTGAATTTGGAAGGGAAAACCTTGATGCTTTTCTATCTTCTCATTAATGAGAGACTAGAGATGCATTCTTGGATCCATCTTCTAGTTTTCTGTATAAGTTCTATGAAAGTCTGCATTCAATCAATCAAAATATAAATGGTCTAAATTTTAGTCTGTGCCAAAACATTATGCCAGACTACAGAATAAAAGGCTATAAATAGCATGGTTTAAAATTAAGATTGTTCTCTATGATTAAAATACAAGTGACCTTTTTTTTGTTTCTTCTTCAATTACTCACAAACTATTTGTTGAACAGATACTTGGTGTTTTACCTCTTCCTTGTTGTTGTTAGGTGCCATCGAGTTGGTACCGACTCATAGCGACCCTATGCTCAACAGAACGAAACACTGCCCGGTCCTGGGCCAACCTCACAATTGTTGCCATGCTTGAGCCCATTGATGCTGCCATGTTGTCAGTCCATCTCACTGGGGGTCTTCCTCATTAGACATGATTATATCTCCTTGTCCCTGAGGTCTTCTTGCTGAAAAATCAGTACGTTTAGTATTGGCTTATTTTTTCTACTTAGGTGCAATTTCAGTTTGTTCTGCTGACCGACACACTGTACTCACCATTGCCTCCTGAGTTACTTCCCACTGAGATGGAGAAGACGCATGAAGACAGACCTTTCCCTCGTACAGTAGTAGCAGTAGAAGTCCAGGATCTGAAAAATGGAGCGACACATTATTGGTCTTTGGAGAAACTCAAGTATGAGAATTGTATTCATATTTCCTAATGAATTGTTCAAATGCATTCCCTCAAACTTTCCTCTCTGAGAACACTGTTGGCTTCCTTTACTGTGCTTTCTAAGTGCTTGTTTCTGGCCAGTGATGCTACTGTCCATCCATTTCCTTTACAATTTAAGTGTTCCTATTTCATGATATCCATATCTATTTTGGATCTAGTCATGTTTCATCTTTCCTGGCCAGGATCTCATGATGAGAAACAGGACCGTTACACTCAAGCTTCCGTTGCATTAGTATCATGAGATTTTTTTCCCTGCTGTTACAGCATGTTTTAGATGCCATACACCATTAAACATTTCTCTTTCTATTCAAAAAAGCATAGGTGGCTGTTTTTTATGATTGTTGACTTGTCTGTAGACTCATAATTTGGGTATTGAGTGCTTTGGCTTCTGCACTTACAGCCTTTGTGCATCTTTAATGGCATTAAGTAGTAGCAGCAAGTGACTGTTGTTTTATCTTGCATGGAAGATGCTTCCAGAGCAAAAATGTACTGCAGGTCTATGACATTAACCCATTGCTTTATGTTTATATAGGCAGAGGCTGGATTTGATGCGAGAGATGTACGACAGGGCAGGGGAGATGGCCTCCAATGCCCAAGATGAGAGTGAAACCCCCATGACTGGCAGTGATCCTTTTTATGATCGGTTCCATTGGTTCAAACTTGTAGGAAGGTAGGTGATGATTTTCCCAATCTTTTCTTTTTGAAATAATGACTGGTTTAATTTTAATTATTTAAAACCTCATCAGATACCATTTTTTAAAACATCTTTTAAAGGATATTAAAAGTCCCACTTGTAATTTTAATCACTTATGTAGGATTATGTTCAGTATATCTCACTTCAGCTTCAGTCAACATATGTATTTGCTTTTTGAGTATCAAACTTTCAGCTAAAGTACTTAAGACTTTTCCTGCTTCTCAACCCATTCGTGAAATGTCTTGCAGTCGAACAAGATGCATTTACAAGATAAAGAAAACTTGGGTTTCCTGTGCAGTTTCAAAACATAATAAAACTTGTCAGACTGCAGTCTGTCCATGATCTGATTTGTCCCCACTTTTTTTAAATCAATTCATCTCACTTTAGTTTTTGCCAAGGATAAATTAATTATATACCTTGGTAGTCTGCTTGAATTTCTTTTGTGTATACATTATTTTCAACATTTAATGAAAACAGTTAGCACCTTTTTATTGAATCAAGTTCTCAGAAATTTTGAATTATATATGCATGGAAATGTAAAGTTTTGGGCTAATGACTTTAGAATTTGAACTGTTTTTCAAATGCAAAATCCCTCTGAGAGTTTTTAAATGAATTAGGTAAAAGGGAGGAACTGAAGTTACAATATTTTCTAGAAAGAAAATAACTCTTCCTCCTTTCTCCCCCTAATAGTAATGTGTAGAGATGACCAAACTTGTCTCACCTAGGCAAGGGATGGATGTGCTGTGGCAAATCATTTCATCAGTTTTATTTTCTGCTCCAAGATGATTTGAGTATTTAAAAAAAAAAAAAAAAGGTTTAAAATCCTTATCATGTTGAGTGGCTCCTTTGAGGCCTTGATGTGTGAACTTTTGTGTGAACTGGACAATATAAACATTTTACAGAACAATATTTTCTGGAATATTCTACTGATGCATTTCCTTTGCTTTTCATAGTCAATGGATCCTTGCATAACTTTTTCAACCTGCCCTTGTTCCTTGTCACCTGGTTTAGATAATCTATGCTGATTTTATCCTTTTGCTTTTCCACTTGCTTTGATTGTGTCGATTCCTCAGTGGGTTCTGTCCTGTTGGCTCCCATGGCTTCTGTTTAACCAACTATTCTCTCTCCCTGGCTGTGTGGATCCTCGTCATGCTACCTGGTGTCTAGCTCCCCCATTTTCCACGGCTGTGTGAATGAGCGCCTTGCCGACCGCACACCCTCCCCCACTTTTTCCACGGCTGATTCCGACATCACTGAGCTGGCTGACGAGCAGCAAGATGAGATGGAGGATTTTGATGATGAGGCATTCGTGGATGACACCGGCTCTGACGCAGGGACGGAGGAGGGATCAGATCTCTTCAGTGATGGGCATGACCCGTTTTACGACCGATCCCCCTGGTTCATTTTAGTGGGAAGGTTGGTGAGGTTATTGTGAGAAAGGCAAAAAGGGACCAGCTCTTTTTGTACATGCCTCTTGGTGCAATTTTGGGTAATCTTGCTTCAGCCAATTCAATTCATGAGCACTTAGTCCACTGCATCAAAGTTGCTCTTTATAAATGCTGCTCCAGCTAGAGAGAGGCACTTGTCTTAAGTTGCCTAATAATTTTGTGCTCAGGGAAGAACCCTAAAGGAGAATGTAACTAAATCTAAGAGTAAAGCATAATGCATTCAAAGAAGGGTACTATGCTGTGGTCTTTCCTTTTTGGAGGAGTGTGAGTAAGGAAGCATGTCGTGTTGTTGTCGTGAAGTGCCGTCAAGTCGGTTCTGACTCGTCGGGGCCCTGTAAAGGGTTTCCAAGGAGCAGCTGGTGGGTTTGAACCACTGACCTTGCGGTTAGCAGTCCAGTGCTTACCCTACAGTGCCACACCAGGAAGCATACAGGGTTACAAAAAAAAAAAAAAGAAAACAGGGCAAGGCCAAGGTTAGGCTAAGGATTCATGGTACTAGTAGGAATCAAGAGGACAGAAGTGGAATCAAGGTTAGGGGTTAAGTTTGCTTTTTGCTTAGTCTGCTGAGTTCTAAAAAGAATCATGAAGGTCAGGTTTCCCCTTTGATTACAGTGGATTCCACTTGAATAGTTTCACTGAACCTAGCTACAGGAACTTACCTACAGGTCTTTGGCTTCTGCTAACATACTGCCTATAGGCTTTAAACTGACGAATCACAGAAAAGTATCCATTGATACTTCCAACAATGGATATTTGTTCAGCACTCCATGAAGCTGCTTTGTGTTGAGTTTAGTTCACCAAACTGAAGCATCATCTCTGGCTCTCAGTTTGTGCACCCATCTTCAGTGATCCAGAACTCTCCTTGCACATGTTCTTAACACTGGTGTCTTTGTCTATATCCAGTCTTCACACTGAAGGCATTTTAGTTACAAGTTCAACAGTGCAGCATTCACTGTGCTAACTTACAAGTTTGTCAAGGTCATAAGGTATTAAACTTAATTTTAATGGTGTATTCAAACGCATGTTATTGAGCTCTTTAAAAGGTAGGGACGAGCCAGTGTTATGTGGACAAGCACCAGTTACCTGAAAATTCTGACCTGGCAGAGGCTTAAGGTTCTAAAACATTGCTTATGATGTTGGTTAGCTGGTAGAAACTTAATAAATAGTTTAGAAGTTGATCATTTCTATGAAAAGGGAAAGAAGAAAAGCTTTCTAATAGAAATACAAGTTTCAGTTGTAATATTAGTCTCTGGATTTTGCAGTGGTGAAGGGACATTTAAAATTTTGGTTTTCCATGGATAAACATAAAAGAATTATATCACCATGAATATTTTTTCTGCTGGAAAAGATGCTTAGAATTAATTTTTTATGAATTTATCTTAATATTAATTGAGAAAAGTAATTCTATGCACAAATATAGAGCAATGATGACTTCCTTATTTTATGACTGTCCTTGTACTTCACATCCTATTTTATTCTAAGAGCATCAGAAATTAAAGCTGCACTTCTACCTTAAACTGCTGAGTCTTGCTGCCAGCCGCACAGCGTCTAAAGCTGCTTCTTAATGCTTGACAACATTACACTAGAAGGAATAAGTACTTCATCTTACATAGTATGATGGATAGAATGTTAACCTGTTAGGAGGAGCTCCGAGTTGTCAGCCTTGTTATAGCGTATCATACTATCATTGCTGGACCAAGAAACAACATTCTTATAAACGGAAACAAGAACAAAGTTGTCAAGGACTTCATTCTTCTTGGATCAACTATCATGAAAGCAGCAGTCAAGAAATCAGATGACGTATTGCATTGAGCAAAGATGTCAGCTTGAGGACTAAGGTGCACCTGATCCAAGCTATGGTATTTTCAGTAACCTCATATGCATGCAAAAGCTGGAGAGTGAATAAGGAAGACTGTAGAAGAATTGATGCTTTTGAGTTATGGTGTTGGAGAAGAATATTGAAAGTGCTATATGGGATGCCAAAAGAACCAACAGATCTGTGTTGGAAGAAGTGCAGCCAGAGTGCTCCTTGGAGGCCAAGATGGCCAAACTTTGTCTCTCATACTTCGCACATTGTCAGGAGGGACCAATCACTGGAGAAGGATATCATGTTTGGTAAGGTGGAGGGTCAGAGAAAAAGAGGAAGACCCCCAGCAAGATGAATTGGCAAAATGGCAACATCAGTGGGCTTAAGCGTGGCAACAATTGTGAGGTTGGCCCAGGACTGGACAATGTTCTGTTGTACATAGGACTGTTATGGGTCGGTACCTACTCAATGGCATCTAACAACAACAAATATCATTACTAACTTAGGACAAGTGATCTAAACTGCAGCCTATTGGCTTCTCAAGTGTGAAATCCAGAGTCAGGTAGAAAAAGAAAGAGAAAAAACATCTTAAAGATCTCTTTCATCTCTCTGGTTAAGGCTTCTATTCAGAAGTATATGTATTTTAAGTCAGTTGTATGGGAAACTTAAATAAAAATCCCACTTAATATGGAAATTCACTGATTCTTAAAATCTGTGTACTATTTTCCCTGTAGTTTCAACTTTCTAACTAGTCATTTTGATCATAACAGATTTCAGCTTAAATATAAAACTTAACTTTGACTTCAGATAAAATAACTTTGGAGCAGTGACTCCTGAGTTGACCTTTGCATTAGTTCAGTTCCCAGAGAGTGGATAGGGGAAGAGGTGAAGTTGCAGCACTCAATGAAGGGATAGATAGCTTTTGTACAGTACACATTTCTTATATACAAACAAAATTAATAATAACAGTGCAACATCATCCAGTGTGTGGTGGTCATTATATGTGTGTAAGGAATAAATTTCTTTCTGTCCTTGTGATTCACAGAATTGGATTTCCCCTATTGGCACATAATCACAAATATAAATTTGCTTGTAAGATTTTCCAGTTTCTTGTGGAATTCCATTTGTAGGTGTTTTGTTTTTTTTTTGACCTTGGCTGCCTCTAGCAAATCTTCTTTATATGAAAAATAAAAGAGCTTGTCCCTTTAGCTATTCTCTTATGGCATGCTGGGATGTTATGAACCGCCCATCATAATTTGGGAAGAAATGTTAACTATTTAATCTACTCTCACGGGTTAAAACAGGGCCATCCAATATGTTCTGTGACCTCTGTAAGTACCCAAACTGATATTCTTTTTGTACCTCTTATCATAATTATGCTGATTTAGCTTATGTTTATGTTGACAAAATTTGTTTCCCTTTTTATAACTTCACAGACCTTTCTGCTAATATATCCTTTGCATTTTCTCCTCTCGTCCCCATTCTCCTTCAGTCTGCTAGGTTTGAGGACTCTCAAAAGACTTCTAGTTTCAACAACGTTGGAACTTTTCTAGAACATGAATGTCGAGCTAAGGACTATATTCTGATAAGACTTGCAGCTGTCTCATGATTATGCAATTGTGTAATCACAGTGCTACCACCAGAGAATTGCAGAAGTCCCTTTCCTGTATAGGGAAATCCACAAGAAGATGTTGTGATTCTCAGATTTGGATTTACCATTTCCATCAGCAAAAAAGGGATTCTCATCTTTTAGATGTGCTTATAACACTTTGTTATAATGTGTATGTGTGGATTATGATGCTCAGTACCTTAACTAGCAAGTGTTCTTCAAAAGCAATCATTCCTGGCTTGAAAGAGCTCTTTGTTAGGTAACATATTAAGTATAGTTAGGCTAAATAAGTCCTGTATGATCAATATGCATCACAAATATCAATCTAGTACAAAGTTGAATGGTCTTGCTTCTCTTCCTCTGGTGTAACCCATTTTTCTGGAAAATGTTCCTTGTCTGCTTAAAGATAGAGGACAAATCCTTTTCTGTTCCCTTGTGGACATGTGTGTTCAGTCACTCACCAGATACTTACTGATCATATTTACTGTACGCCAGACCTTCTGCAAACAGCACTGAGCAAAACCAGATGTGATTCCTCCCTTCAGACTTACAGCCTGGTGGGTGAGACAGACAGAAATAATCACACAAGTAAATGTAAATAATAGTAGCAATGATGAAATAATTATGTGTGTTGCTGGGAACACAGCATTGGGATCCCTGGCCCAATCTGGCATTTGAAATAAGACCTGAAGGTGTGCAGTGAGGTGGTCAGTAGAATGCAGGAAGAATTCTAGGCAGAGGATGAGCATGTGCAGTGGCCTTGTAGTGGCAGATCTTGCTGGAACGTCCTGCGAGATGAGGGGTCCGCATGTGCGTTGACTCTGACATGAAATTGCCTGTTTGGTACTGTAGGCCAAATTCTTGGTCTTTTAACCTCTGTAACAGTACTTAATATATGAGCATCTCGTTTGTAGTCCTTTTTGGAAGACGTTTTATTTCCTTATTTTGTACCTCAAAGTTTAACCCTTTCTTATCATTGCCCCCCTTTGGAGCAGACTGAAAGGGAAGTAGACATCACTTGTTTTGCTTCAATGTTTACTTTCAGTTGTTTTTGTTACACTGTTCATTCATATTTAATTTATACTTTAAAATTTTTGTTAATGTTTGTTTCTCTCTGTGATGCATTGTTTTCATTAAGTTGAAGTCCCGAAAATCCACTCCATCTTCCTTTTCTCTTTGTTTTTAAGTAGATTTCAGAGCAGGAAAAGCAGTAGACAGGCATGTTATATTATATTTGGCTTCCTGATGCCAGTGTTTGTTCTTTGTCTTTTGTCTTGTGTTCAAAGATCAGCATATACCAAGTGGGGATACAAGAGTAACAGTGGGAACTAGACTTTATTTCCTATCTATTAAATAGAATGAGCACTCTTAAGTTTTATGATCACCAGTTGTTATTGGTTTTTAAAAAATCAAGTAGCTACGGAATAATGAAAGAAGAAAAAAAGTGCAAATGTAGTTCCTTTGCTAATTTATTTGAAATATAGAATGTTAAATCTGTAACTTGCCTTTGATTTTTATATTTCTGAACTAGGTTTGGGACTCTAGAAGCAAAAGCAAGCCTTTTAGGAAACCTTAGCATTTATCTAGATCCATTTTAGCGTCTGCTTTAAGCTTGCTCAGAAACTTGCAGTTTCTGATTTCTCAGCCTCTCTGTTCATAGGTGTCTGTTTGTCTCACCATGTCAGTTATCCTGCCTGAAGCTGAGTCATTTCTTAAAACAAAGACTCAGAATGCTGTGGCATAAAATCTGCTCTGAAGTTGTTAACTGCATTCCAGTTACATTTCCCTTCCTCTTTTGTCTCTTAACTTCTATTTTATCTATTGGGGGAAAACAAACAGATTAAAACCTATTTATAACACCTTACCTTCAAAGAATAAAGCGCTCTGGTAGCGTAGTGGTTACGAATCAGGCTGCGAACCACAAGGTCAGCAGTTCGAAACTACCAGATGTTCTGTGGGAGAAAGATGAGGCTTTCTGCTCCTGTAAAGATTTACAGCCTCGGAAACCCTGTACAAGGTCACTATGAGTTGGAACCGACTCCACGGCACGTAACCACTACCATCACCTTCAAAGAATAAGTTCTTCAGTGTACATCCTTTCTCTTCAGTCTTTGTAAACCAGTATCTTGAAAGTCTACTTCCAATTGTTACTCTTCTACCTACAATAGTTATTTTTATATAGGGAGAATAATTTGGTGTAAGTTGGCTTTTGTCAACTGCTTTGCCAAGCATTGGCATTTGTTTATATATTATCTATGCTGAAGAAGCAAATAGAGGCAATCTGAGAGTGCAGAGCAGAGAGGCTATCTTAAGACAAGGTCTAGGAGCCAGTTCACAGTTTCATGACGATATGATATTCTCAGTGAAACATTCTCTCTGTTGGATGCTCTGATGTTTGTCTCCCGGTTTCTATCTCTAGGGCATTTGTTTACCTGAGCAATCTGCTGTATCCGGTCCCTCTGATCCATAGGGTGGCTATTGTCAGTGAGAAAGGTGAAGTGCGGGGATTTCTGCGTGTGGCTGTACAGGCCATTGCAGGTAGGTGGCACTCTTCAGAAATGAGAGTTAATGGATTCTTTACCTAGAGACAGAGTAAGCCTGTTCTGTACAGATCTTAAGTCAGTTACATCTACAAACTGCAGTAACATTTTGTTCCTTAGAGAAAGCCTTTATTGCTTTCTTTCCAGCTATTATTTCCAAGTATCATAAATAGACTATTTAGTCCAGGCTACTGCTATTTTGCAATCCTGGGGTAAAGGAATTTTCCTTTAACATGAAGTCAGAACAACTCCTGGATCAACTTTATAAATGTCATTTGCATCTTTCATAATGTCTCTTTTTAACAGCTTTAGAAGTAACAAAGAATTTTCAGTACGTTTTCTTACTTAATTTCCTTCAGAAACAAAAAAACAAACTCACTTGCATCAAGTCAGTTCCCATTCATAATGACCCTATATAGAGTTTCTGAGACGGTAAATCTTTATAGGAGCAGACAGCAGAGTGACTCATGGGTTTGAACTGCCCACGTGTGGCTAGCAGCTCAGTGCTTAGCCCACAGCACCACCAGTGCTCCTCAGGGTACTTCTGAGAGACATTTTTGTCTTGTAACTGTTATTGTGTAACACATGATCAAGATACTGATATTTGCCACTTTTTCATAACCCGTCTTACATACTGGGGAAAGAATGTGGCTGTTTCCTGTCGTTTCTGTTTTAATTTCCCAACTCTGTGCTGTGTTTGGTGACCTTTCAGCTTTTGCCTCACGGAAACCTGTGACATTCACCAGGGTTGAGTATATGGATGTCCCTTCCACAAGTACAGTACAGTATTTTCAGATATTTGTTGTGTATTATTGAATATAATCTTGCCAAGATGGAAAAGAGTCAGTATTTCTTAATATGAGTTTGGAGAAATCTCAAGATTAAAAACTGACTCTTTATTAATCTCACTTGAGTCAAAGAGTTTGGTACATATAAATGAGTAGTGTTGGAAGTAGTACCATGTAGTTTTACAACTTGGGCCTCATTCTTTCTCTCTTACGCAAAAAAATCTTGTTCTCTAGTGTCTCTTCCTGTTAAAATTTTCAACCAGTACAGCTCCAGCACTTCCCTATTTATTTTATAAGATCATAATGGTTATTCCCTGCCTCTCCATACATGGTTTCATTCTGTCCTTTTATTTTTTTCTATTTAGCGGATGAAGAAGCACCTGATTATGGCTCTGGAATTCGACAGTCAGGAACAGCTAAAATATCTTTTGATGACGAGTACTTTAATCAGGTGAGAAAACTTCCAGGAAAACGAAAAACCATGTGGGAGGAGACATTTTCCACTTTGGAGAACAATTCCCAGGATGCTGGTAACCACACATACAGCTGTTTAGTGGAATATGGGACATGCCTAACAGTTGGCAGAGGTTAAGATTCAACGGTGTAAAAGATGAAGAACAGCATTTATATTTCATTATATCACTGTCTCTCAGACAATTTTTAATATTGATAGGCAAATAAACAGAAGTGAAGAAACTGGAAAAAAAGATCTTGTTGTACTACTTTGTCATTTGCCTACCCCTGCCTTGTTTTCAGAGTGACTTTACTTCAGTTGCAATGACTCGTTCTGGTCTTTCGTTGGAGGAGCTGAGAATTGTGGAAGGACAGGGTCAGAGTTCTGAGGTCATCACTCCCCCAGAAGAAGTTAATCGAATGAATGACTTGGGTATGTAGAATGTACTATGAGAATAGACATTTAAAGAAGGGGAAAATGTTAACCCTTGTAAAGGGAGATAGTTGCTTTCATCAGCTAGGCATGGAAAGAATGCCCATCTGTCTCATCTTTGCAAGGTAGTATGTACATTACCAGAACCATGTGTGTGTTCATTTAACCCTCTTTAGATTTGAAGTCAAGCACTTTGCTGAATGGTAAGATGGTCATGGAAGGGTTTTCTGAAGAGATTGGCAACCACCTGAAACTGGGCAGTGCCTTCACATTCCGTGTAACGGTGTTACAGGCCAGTGGGATCCTCCCTGAGTATGCAGACATCTTCTGCCAATTCAAGTAAGCTGTCCCTTCTGCCAATTCAAGTAAGCTGTCCCATCATCTGATGCCTACCTGCCTACCAAGATGATGTATGTTTAGGTCCTTATGTACTGTATAGTGCTTGCCATTTGTGACACACTGGCACTGCTGAGACATAAATGACTACCATTCTTTGAAGAAAAAGGTTTCTTCTTTCAAGTTTGAAATAAGACCAGGAAGCCAACAATGGAATAAAACAGGGTTTAGCTGACAAAATGAATTTTTTTATGAAGTCGTGTCATTTGCATATGTATATATGCACGTATATGTACATACTTATACATATATATACGTGTATATATACATATATAGGGAGTCCTGGAGTAGCACTGTAGGATCAGCGCTGAACTGCTAATCATAACATCAGGAGTTCAAACCTACCAGCTGCTCCTCAGAAACCCTATTCAGGATTGCTATGAGTCAGAACTGACTTGATGGCACTTAGCAATAACATAGGGAGTCCTGGTGTGGCACTGTAGGATACACACTGGATTGTTAACTGTAAGGCTGGTGATTTATACCCACCAGCTACTCCTTGAAACCCTGTACTGGGTCACTCTAAGTCAGGACCAACTGAGAGGCACTTAACAAGTATGAGAGAGGAGTGTGTCTTGCATCCTACCAGTGGTGGTCTGTGCAGTTTAGAAAGCATTGTTTAAAGGTTTTGACCAAGTCCGGAATTACTATGTAGCATGTCACTAATTTTCTGTAATGTATAGTTGTTGAAACCCATGCAGTTTTAATTGCATTCATTTAAGCTGCTTTTTTCATCAGCACCAATGTTAGGGTAGGATGAAGTTGGCTAAATTAATTATTTTTTTAGAACACTATTATTCTAGTTAGCCTATTGAGAAACTTCATAGGAAAGACCAATTTCATTAATCAATGTTTGAAGTAATAACAATGGTACATTGATTAGGACAGTATCATGATGTGAGACCAAAAGTCTAGGGTTTTTAACATTAAACTCTGTACAGGGAAGATACAGCTATAGAGCTGTAAGACGATTTCTGTATGTTTACGTCCTACAATGGCAGAGTGGAGCGTAGCAGAGTCCACATCACATGTCATCTGATGCCTACAGGGTGCCTCTGTCAGGTACCCTGTAGGCATCAGTGGGTGAAAGGGAAAGGAAGGAGAGAGAGATGGAGAAAGGAAATCAGGAAGGTACAAGTAGAACAGAATGCTGGGGTGCCCACAGTCCATCGCGTCAGGGATGTGGAATGACTGGGGAAAGTAGGCCACCATCCTCCAAATCAGTAAATGTATTTGAATGACAAAAAGGGATTCCATAACTCTGGTCTTCTGGTGTCTTACCTACCTCACATTCAGAGTATTCTCTTTTCCCTCTTTTTATTTGTTTTTTAAAGGTTGTCCTTCTGATTGATCTTTCTTATTTCTTCCTGGGTATAACTTTTTGTGTTGACTATTCCTTATTTCTCACTTACTTTTATTTCAAACTAATAAAATTTCACTATTTGTGAGAATAAATAAACATAGCTAATTGACAACACATACACAAAAAGTATCTCTAGTTCTTCGTGTGAGGGTCTGTGCCCGAGGCTGCTGAGTGACGCTGTCAGGAGGACAGGCATGTGATTATGTCAGTGCAAATAGAGCAGTGGGCCCCTAGCTGTAGGAACACAAGTCCTTTTAGAAACAAAACCTAAAATGATAAGTGACAGAAAAATGTTTTTGACAAGGATAGGTAAAACCGTTAGCTCAATTACAGAATCTGCCAAAGGAGGATGCTTCTGGCCATAGCATCCAAGTTGGACTCTAAAAATCAAGATCCTAATGAAAATGTGTAATGCTTATTTCACATCTTTTTATGTTTTTTAAGCTTTTTACATCGTCATGATGAAGCATTCTCTACTGAACCCCTCAAAAACAATGGCAGAGGAAGTCCTTTGGGCTTTTATCATGTGCAGAATGTAAGTATCACGTTTTTGCCAAATGCTCTTAGGGTTTGTGGTACCTTGAAGTGGCTGGTGTGAGGAAGTGCAGGATTGTGTGGGCTCCTTTCAGAAGATAATCTGAGGGGAGTGAAGAAGGCTGTGTGGAAAGAACAGACCATAGAGGGAGTGGCCAGAACGATGAGGTAATCCTCTGTGGGTGAGCAGCCAGCCTTTATCTACACTACAATGGGCCCAATGACTGACTGGTAGAGTGTGGGGGTTGGTCTTCCATCAGTTTGAATGTAATGAGTCCTTCTGAATGTTCCCTCCCCAGAAAAATAAGTATAT